AACGTCCAACGCCAGAAAGCCAACCAGCTTCAGCCCTTCATTTCCCTACTGCCCCACTATTTGCCCTTAAGTGCACAGACTAGGACAGCCAGATGAAAAGTTAGCTGGAAGCTAGCTGCTTCACGGTTTCCTCCTTGCACCCCCTACCTCCTGTAGCTCCTGGTACCGCAGCCTTGACTTCTTGAAGTATCCAGGCTTCCTCTGGCTCAGCAAGAACAGGGCGTAGGTTGAGGCCAGCACTCCCCCTAGGGTGAGGGCCTCGGCGCTGAGCTCCAGCACGAGCAACCCTGTCAACTGAGGTAGCAGGGTGAGGATGCTTTTGTGGGTACAGCCCCTATTTTCTTCTGCCCTTCCTCCTTCATTTACCAGTACCTGGGAGGTGTCAGTAGAGGCAGTCCCCAAGGCTGTCTTCATCACCTCTATCACCACGGCAACGAAGCCCAAGATCATGTTGAAGGTGTTGGATACCATCATGGCCCGCACCTACCAGTGAGCCAGCTCAGCCCTGAGCAGCGTGGGAGACTCACTGCAAACTCAAAACTCCGCCTACAACCCAGCTGAAGACAAAACTCAGACACAGGACTAGTGTAGACCTGTCATCCTTGACACTTGGGAGGCTGAGGCAGGAGGATCAAAAGTTCAAGGCCTGATTGGGCTACAGGATATGTTCAAGAGCATCCTGAGTAACTTATGGGGGTGGGGGCTGAGGCTTTAGCTCAGGGCTAGTGTTTACTTATTATGCATGTGTCTCTGGGTTCAAGCCCCAGCACCACACACACACACACACACACACACACACAACAAAACAAAAAACTAACAAATTTCTGCTCCTATTTCCCTACCTTCAAACAGGACTGTTAGCCTTCTAACATTCTCACTTTCTTGCTTCAGTCAGGGACAGACAGCTGAGAGGATAAATCACTTTTTGGGTTGAGGGGCGTATCCGTGCGTGCGTGCGTGCGTGCGTGCATGTATGCTTGCATGTGTACTGGGAGAATGGGAGGAGGCCTATATTCTCTTCTCTCACCTTCCAGATGCAAGGTGCTCTTCGAAGTTCAAGGGTGATGATGCCAGTGAGGAGACCCTAAATGGTTAAAAGGGCACACTGTGAACTCTAGTTTTGTTAGAGAAGGGTCCCCAGGACCGTCCTTCCACCCTCCCTTATGGTAGGTCTTACCGAGGCTCCGGGCCAAAGTGGCAGTGCTGTGGCCAGGTGGCAGGCAGAGGTCAAACAAGAAAGTGCGATAGTAAAGGGGACCACAGCGATTGCCAGCCATAGTTGGCTCACCTGGAGGCCAGAGCAGGGCAGATAGAGGGGACTATCGGAGACTTTTTCCTCTGCACAATGTTTTCATTGTTTACATATTATTAATTGGGATAAATGCATGATAGAGGGAAGTACCCATGCTGGGGCAGTTTTAAAAGTGAAATTCAGAAATTAGATGCCACTTTTTTTTTCTATCTCATTTTATAGTTCACTTACCTTCGTGTTTTCCCCAAAGGTAAAGGCAAGCTACTTGCAAATGAAAGGTTTTTCTTTGTTAATTTGTACATCTCGTCTCCCCCCCTCCCCAGCAGTTTCCGGTGCATCCTGTGTGCTCACTGAACATGAGTGGAATTGAACTGTGTACAGTCAGCTAAAACCTGAAGCAGGGCAACCTAGTCTCACCGCCAGCACCAACAGGTGTCCACTTTGCCTGTGTCTTGCCCACTGCTGTAGCTTTTCCAGGCGAAGGCTGGGTCTCTCCTGCCTCGGCTGATCAGCGTTTTGATCCATTGCTTGCTTGTATTTCCTGGGTTGCAAAAATTCATTATAAGACTTTCAGGAAATACGAACACACGACATCTCTTTCATTGACCCCTCTGCCCACTCCTAATTCAGGGTTGAGGCCCAGAAACCTTACACATACCTACTCTGAAGTGGCCACTCCAATGGGTTGGAACTCAGCTGGGTCACAGTAATCCTTAGGGGCCTGGGTAGCTCAGAGCCAGACAGTCTTTTTCCTGGCACATAGTCTGTCAGAGAGCAGAGGTGTGGTGGGGCAAAGGTCACTATGAGGGCCTAAAGATCCAGGGAGTGGCCTTATGTAGACATGAACCTCAGCTCACTCCAATAGCCGTCCAGCCTGCCTCAGTATTTCCACTTGCTAGGGCCCTATTTCTACCCTTCTTCAGGGTTCACTTACTTCATCGCTATGGACAAACTCATCCTAGACCTCAATCTCCCCTGATTTCCATTCAGTCTTTGTTCTTTGGCTTCCTCCTCAAATTACTCATTCTGTCCTAGTGAGATTCTGTGTTACTGTCTGGATTGCTCCACCGGCCGGGAACTCTGTTCCCAGACCCGTTTTCATTTCCCCCCCCCCCCCCCCCCGCTTTTCTGGGCAGTTTCTTTTCCTAAGGGTTGCACTAGGGATCCATCCCAGGACTTTGACTAGTTGATTAAAGGGAGGGAAAGCCTTGTACACTGGGGATTGTTTTTGACCCAGTGAAAACGAAAACCCAGGTGCTGGTCTGGAAAAGATACTATACCAACAATATTTTTGTGTTAAAAAGATCTCCAAAGGCCTGACTGGGCTAGAATCTCAGTTCTGTCACCTTTTCAGGTCAGTGACTTTGGCTACATTATTGTGACATTATTTTACCTAATTGAATTCCACTTCATTTCCCTGATAAACAGAACTAACAACAATATGTATGCCCCTGAAGGGAAGCTGATTTCAGGGTGAGTAGGGCACCATTAATGATGCTGAGCAGGTCATATACAGAACACATTGAAGGTATTGTGCTCATTGTCCACATTACCACAGGGCTTGCTCAGAAGCTAAGGTGAGTACATTTATTTCCACATTTAAGAAAGAGAGCCAGCTGGCCTGAATGTATACTTTACAGAGCAAATATAGGAAAGAGCCTGAGGTCTCAAGATGATACTACCTGTGCCTGTGTCCCTGATCTATCTGGCTGACCTCAGTCAAGTTGCTTAATCTGTTTCCTTATCTGTAAAGGGAAATTAACAATACCAGTCTCAAGGGGTTGCCTTGAGCAGGAAGAGAAAATGCATAGGAATTAGCTTAGCCTAGTATACACCACATAAGGAGGTGGCTATTATTTATAACCACCGTAAATAAAAGAAACTGTGCCATAAGATCTTTGGGAGTTGAGGCCCAGGAGGAAGGGGAGAAAAGTAGCTTTCCTCATAAGCCACTTCTGCCCTACTCACTGCTGAGCTAACATCACTGGAGCACTGTATCCATGCTGATTTCCTGGGCACAGGGAATCGGAGTTTAAAGGGAACCAAACAAATTGTGTTTATTTTCTCTCTTTTCAGTCACCAAGAGAGTTGACTTCATTTAATGGCAAGGTTGAGATATAGGCCTTATGATGTCCCTGAATTTGCAGGTCAGTGGAAGGAGAGACGTTGAACCTATTTTTTTTTTTCTGTAAATGGAGCTTATATTAGAGGATTACTGGAAAGATCTCATGCTGCTAAATACGTGAACAATCATCGAGTAAATATTGACTAAATCTGAGTATGCCACTTAGGAGTGTGCAACTACTGTTTCGGCTATAATCGAGAGAAAGTAACACATCTCCCTTCTCTCTGCATACCCCCAGTGTTGAGCACAGCGCCGGGTGCTTGGTAAGCACTCAGTAAATATTGTTGCATTGAAGAGCCATTAAAGTGTCTTAAAGAACGGAGAATAGAATTCGTGAAGCAGGAGCGAGAAGTGTTTATCAAGAACGGCAAAGGCGGAAGAGTAACTTTAATAATGTTTCTTGTACGGCAGACATTAACTATCTCTATAATCGCCCCTCCTCCTCTCCCAAAAGAGAGACAAATTGTAAGGGAGAGGCTTTGAGATAAAACCCCAGGAAGAACTTCCCGAGCCTGTGCATGTTGGGGCAGAAGCAGCGGCAGAGCCAACTCCTTCCCTGGTATGTCCGGGTCTAGGGTGGGAGGGGCAGCCTGCTTGGAGGCTGGGGGAAGGACAAGATGACCTTTCACAATCTCCTCCAGTCCCCTCGAGGAACGGTCTGCGCGCCCCACCCCCGCCCCCTCCTCCTCGCGCGACGCCCCCGGCCCCCCAAGGCCCGCACCCCCTGGCGGCCGCCTCTTGCCGCTCCGGGGGTCCCCCGGCCCCGGAGCCCGAGCGCGCTGCCCGCCGCGCCGCCCCCCGCATGCTAATGGCCGGGCCGCCTCCCGCCGCACACAATGCGGGCCGGGCCGGGGGCGGAGGGCCGGGGAGGGGCGGGGGCCGGGCCGGGGGCGGGGGGGCCGGGGCCCGGCGCATCTCCCCCGGCCCCACGTAA